GGAACCCTCCTGAGAGTGTCCAAGGTTTGTTCTCCCCTTCGTTTTTCAGATGGCCTAAGAAGCGAGGGAAGATGATGTGGAGGAGTATTAGGGCAGCCATGTGTTGGTCACTATGGGAGGAAAGAAACTCTCGAATATTTTCAGAAAAGGAAAGATCCCTGGAAGAACTATTAAACCTAATACTTTTAAGGGTTGCCCACTAGCTAAAAACTATGGAACTGTTCTCAGACTTTTCTATTGTTGACCTGTTAAGAAATTGGAAAGAGATAGCAACCTCTACTTTGTATAAGAGGACTCTTAGTCCCTTGTGGTCCCCTCCTCCCTCCGGATTTATAAAAGTGAATTTTGATGGCAGTAGCATAAGGAATCCAGGGCCCTYTRGGATTGGGGGAGTTTTCAGGAATGAGGAAGGGATTGTTATTACTCTGTTCTCAGGTCCTATTGGAGAAGGAGACTCTATTAGGGCTGAGATCCTTGTAGCTTTGGAAGGGGTTCAAAGAGCAAGGGAACTAAAATATCTGTTGGCTGATTTTGGAAGGTGATTAGCTAGTTGAAGAAAGATGACAGTGGCTTKTGGAGTTACAATAATGAAAAGAAAAAATTCTTATGGCTATGTAGAGGCATTGAGATACAATACAACTGGGTGAAAAGGACTACTAATTCTTTTGTAGATGGGTTGGCCAAGCAAGGGGTGAATAGGGAGGCTATTTTTTGGGCTATTTTTTAATCTTCTTTCATTGTAATTTTTTGATGGGGAGATAAGACTCTTTATCTCCCCCTTTTTTGTACTTAAAGCTTCTTAATTCTTAATAAAGTTTCTGTTATTGATAAAAAAAAAAACATTATCACGGAATTCTTCTGAAGTGGAAATGCATAGCAACTAACAGTTGTTCTCTGTTACCTGAGAAAGTAGCTTTCAGAAAAGAAACTTGTTTGTTGGAAGGTTGTAGCTGAAGTAGTAGAAGAGAGGTGAAGGCAAACAAGTGCTGAGAATGTCGAACTAAGTAACCCAGTCGACAGTACTATTATTTATAGTAGAGTACAATGCAGTGTTACATGAAATGTCTGGAATGCCCCTGATTAGTGATTGTACACCCAGACTGCTTAAAACACTAAACAAACTTAGGCCCAATAACAAAGGCCCAGTACTTAACAACTTAAAGTCCAATACTAACTAACATGTACACTTATCAGCCGAACCAACAATACATAAAATCAGTCAACTTAACACTCCCCCTCAAGCTAAGCATGGATGTTAGTCATGTTTAGCTTGCCAAGAAGGTCCAAGAATTTTGTTGCAACCAACCCTTTAGTCAACACATATGCAATCTACATCTTGGATGGAGTATAAGGAATGCAGAGTTCTCCCGAGACTATTCTCTCTCTAACAAAATGTCAATCAATCTCAATATGTTTTGTCCTGTCATGTTGCACTAGGTTATTTGCAATGTTGATAGCAGCCTTGTTGTCACAGTACAGCCTAAGAGGACCCCCAGCTTTTATGCCAAGCTCACCAAGAAGGATCCTAAGCCATAGAAGTTCAGCAACACCATGAGCCATAGCTCGATATTCAGCCTCCACACTTGATCTAGCAACCACATTCTGCTTCTTACTCCGCCATGTAACCAGGTTCCCTCCAACAAATGTACAATATCTTGAAGTTGATTTTCTGTCCCCAGCAAAACCGGCCCAATCTGCATCAGTATAAGCTTCAATTTCAATTTTATTGT